GGGATTGCCCTCTCACCACCTGATGCGTGTTGTGATGCTTGTCAACGTGCTAAATAGACATGGGCTCCGTTTCCAATCAGCCATATTAGTAGTACTTCTCCATTCCAATTGTTACATTGTGATATATGGGGCGATTACAAAACCCCTTCGCATACCAATGCACATTTTTCTCTCATTGTAGTAGATGATTTTACAAGATGTACATGGACATTTCTAATGAAACATAAATCTGAGGTTTACCATTTCCTCACCAATTTCTATATAACGGCTGAAACACAATACAAGTGTTCAGTTCAATAGGTTTAGTCTGACAACGGTCTTGAATTCCTATATGAGCCCTTACAAAGTTTCTTTCAACAAAAGGGTATTATTCACCAGCAGTCGTGTGTAGATACGCCACAATAAAATGGTGTTGTCGAACACAAGCACCGACACTTATTGGAGGTTGCACGTGCTCTTTGTCATCAAGCAAATCTCCTAGTTTCCTTTGGGGTGAATGTTTTCTTACTACAACATATCTTATCAACATTATGCCCATGCCAAAGTTGGGTGGCAAATCCTCGTATGAGAAGCTTCATCTTTGCCCACCCAATTATAACCATCTCTGAGTATTTGGGTGCCTTTTCTATGCACAAATATGGCCAACTCCTCATGAAAATTTTGCAGTCTGCTCTACGTGATGCGTGTTCATTGATTATCCATATGGTCAAAAAGGGTATAGGGTGTTCAGCTTAGACACAAAATAGATATTCACTACTCGAGACGTATCCTTTTATGAAATTGAGTTCCCGTTTACAACTGTTTCAACCACCAGGCCCACTGAAATGGTCATTCCATTGGCCCAACTAGATGATGGGTGTGATCTTATTCCATGCAACAATGAGCCTCTCAATGAGTCTCATGGTCGCAATAGTGTTGCTTCTAATGATAATTATAATCATGCGGCTACAAGTCTCATAATCAGTCCTGCTGCAAATAGCGGACCCAGCCTTGAACCACAAAATGAGTCTCATTCTATCCATGATATTTCACACCAATCTAAAACTGCTATTTCCCGTCCCACTCGCTCTTGCCAGTTTCCATCTCACCTACATGATTTTGTATGTGATCTTCCCACCTCCCTCACAAACCACCATACTTTACTTGCTACCACTCCTCACCATTCCCTTGAGCCCACAACTTACTCTCAAGATGCCCAATCTCCCCATTGGAAAACTGCCATGGTTGATGAACTTGCAGCTCTAGATCGTAACAATACATGGACACTCATGGATCTTCCTCCTGGCAAAAGGGCTATAGGTTGCAAATGGGTCTATAAGCTTAAGTTAAAGGCCGATGGCTCCATACGTCGGTATAAGGCTCAACTTGTAGCAAAGGGTTACAATCAATTTGAAGGGCTAGATTACTATGACACTTTTGCTCCTATCACAAAATTAGTTACCATGCACTACCTACTTGTAGTAGCCGCTATGAAACATTGGGAGCTACACCAACTAGATGTTAACAATGCCTTCTTACATGGAAATCTTCATGAAAAGGTTTACATAAAACCTCCCTTGGCCTCTTTGCCAATGATGATTTTTGTGTTTGCAAGCTAAATAAATCTCTCTATGGTCTTGATCAAGCTTCTCGATAGTGGTTCGCCAAATTCACGCAAGCTCTTGTTGCTATTGGTTTCACACAATCGTCAGACAACTATTCTTTGTTTACTTCTCAACAACCCAACTCATATGTTGCTATCCTTGTATATGTTGATGATTTAATCATTACGAGAGATGATCCAACCCGTATTGCTTCTCGTAAGGCCTACATCAATGATTGCTTCAAAACAAAAGATCTTGGGCCCTTACAGTACTTCTTGGGGATTGAGGTATGTCGAAAATATGTTTCTGGTTTCTCTCCCGCTCCCTCTATCTCTCGATCTCCCTCCCTTCTCTCTCACTCTCACAGTCATGTCTTGATCTGCCACTCCCTCTGCCTCCCACTTTCATCTTTAGTCTATAGCCAAATCAAAAGCTCTATTTCTTTCCCTCCCTCCCTCCCTCTCTCTCCCTCTCTCTCTCTCTCAATCTATTGTTCTCCCTCAATCTCTCATTTTTCTCCCTCACTCTCTCTCTCAGTCAATATCTATCGTTCTCCCCTAGTCATTCTCCTACTCCATCTCTCGTTCTTTTTTTTTTCTTACAAACTTATATAATATTAATCAGACCATATAAAAGAACTAAAGCAACCAACCACTTGTACAATACAGAAATAGAAAACCATTTTTATTTATTTTCAAATCACAGTTGTTGAACAGAAAAAGACGACTATGAGAGTGAGGGAGGGAGGGAGGGAGAGAGAGAGAAACTAAAAACACTTCTTTTTTCCAATTACTAGGATTAAAGAGCAATTTCAGTATAAGCTTTTTGTTGTGTCCAACATAAATTAAGAGTCCCATGTTGGCAACTGCCACATAAGCCTCCAATGACATGGCGGGGTTTTTATAATTTGAAAATGTAGAATTGGTTGTCAGAGTTTTGTTGGTTTTTGGACAAACTTGTAGCCTAATTTTAAATGCATAGCCGACTTTAATTATAATTTTTCCTAATTTAAAACTAATCCAAAAGCAAAGCTATTTTCTTATCCAAACGGTGGGTCAATGATCCAACTTTTCAAAGAAATCCATGATGTCATAATTGAATAATAAATATTTAAAAAAAGGTAGAACACCAAAAATGAAAATGTATAGAATTTTGTTGAAAACTTTTGAGAACATTTCTAGTGTTATATACTCATCATATTAAATAAAAATAATTGTTAAATGGAATACAAAATTTAATAATAATAATAATAATAATAATAATAATAGTAATAATAATAATAACAATAATAATTTATTATTATTATTATTACTATTATTATTATTATTATTATTATTATTATTATTATTATTATTATTATTATTTTCAACAAGAATTTAAGTTTATTTTTAATCATATTGTTACTTTTATTAATTTTCAATTTCTATCTTAACTATGATATATTTAAAATTTAATTAATTAATATGAAGAAAAAATTTTCACGTGCAACGCATGTGCTTAATTACTAGTTTTAACAAAAAGGAAAGAATAAAGAATGTGTTGAACCATTCATGTTTACATACATAAAGCCAACAGTCATTTGGCCGCCATGTTCTAGCTAGCGTCATACACCTCCGGCCCATAACAACACATAGATGACAATTTTCATGGGACCGGCACGAGGTATATACATAAAGCCCTGTTTGTTTTTTTGGTAAGTTACTTATTCGGGTAAATGTATTTATTCAGATAAGTTTTTTTTTTCGGAAAATATTTACCGGGTAAGTGCATTTACCTATATTCTTTTATTTTTTGGATAAATAAGGAAATGATGGTTTTAGCCATGAAAAATCATTTTTAAAATGGTCAGTTTTGTCCCATCCAAGTGTTGACAATTTTCCTAGATGAAAAAGTTACCCACGTGGTAGATGGATAGTTATACACAAAAATATAAATTTTCCATGCATCCCACATAAATTTGGAAAAAAAGACATAAGTATCTTGGTTCCCCCTCTCAAAATCCAAAAAAAGTGGGCTCATAGGGTAACAAAAATGCACTATAGGGGCATAAAAGTATGGTTTTTAAAACCGACCCGGTGACCAAACCGGTTAGGGGTCCAGTTACCAGGTTGAACGGGCGACTGTTCGAATCGAACGCTCGAACCATTCTAACAAAAAAATAAAAAAAAAATAAACAAAATAAAATACGGTCAAAACCATTCGGACGTGCCAAACGGTTCGAATGGTTAACCGCCCGGTTCAACGGTTCGTTGACCAAAATGAACGGTTTTGGGGGGAAGTCCGGTTTTTGGGGAAAACAGAACCGGTCACTTGATTGGTTCCCGGTTTTTCGGTTTGACCATCCGGTCCAGTCCGGTTTTGAAAACCATGCATAAAAGTATATTGTCATTTTACTAGCTTTGTGCTTTTTTGCGTCATTACTACTCCATGTGGCTGAAGGGTGCCAGAGGCGATGAATCTTGCAAGGGTAACCAGCTGATCTGTAGGCCCACTTCAGTTCCAACATCAAGACAACCCAAGTTGGTCCAGTCTGGATCAAGTAGGCACAACATTGTAAACACATTTAAGGAGCACTTAGAAAAAATTTTGACACCTGTCCCTTAAAATACCCCAGCCTACCCTTGAAAAAGATAATAAAACCACTTTTAACAGTTGTCAAAATATTTATTAAGTATATTGTGCCGATTAGATCTGAATAGAAAAACGAATTGGGTTTGCTCTTAGAGTTTAGAGTTCAGACATCCAAAAAGGAGAAAATTAGTTATAGGGATAAGTGGACTGCAATCCACCTCAGAGATCTGAAATTGCACCCCTCTCCTAGTCTACTAGTAGCCCCCCTATAAACCACATCTTGCTTGTGGATTTGGCATCAATCCACGGCCAGGATTCAATCCACCCCTAGAAATCTTAGCTCCACCCTAGGGGTGGACTGAACTATAAAAACCCCTGCTCATTTGGAAAGCCAAGAATGGATGAAGCAGAGGGACAAAGCATCAGGCTCTGCTGGATAGCCTGGATTAACAGTCCTAATCAAGTAGGTACAAAATTGTAAGCACGTTCAATGAACACTTAGAAAATTTGTGACACCTGTCCCGATCAGCTATTGTGCCCATTGATTAGACCTCCAGCTTTAGACACAGACTCCACATATCTTCGAGCTGTCGCCAGTCGGCTTCAATGGTTGCCCAATGCCCAACACCAGATGTGGGCTGTACATGGGTTCACAACCCATTTCGTTAATGGGTTGGTATGGGCACCCAACCCATTTGTTCTTTATTAATAATTAGTAGAAGAAGACAAAACAAAATCCAAGAGGTTGACTTTGCCTGGTTCATATAATACTTTATTTTTGCCTTGTACCAAAAAAGATATAACACTTTGTAATTGTTTAATTAGTATGAGGCACAGTGGCACAGATTGAATAGAATTTTGGTCTTCAGAAATTGACAAGAGATCGGTACGTAACGCCGGGCTGCCACCCGGCCGGAATTACATCGCTCGCTACCAGAGTATTGCCAGATTCAAGCGCCTTAAGCTTGAGAGAGAAGGGAGCTCGCAACTCAGAGCCAGAGTTCAGCTTCCAAGCTGCACCCCACGACTGCTGCATGGGAAGCCATGTATCCGAGTCCATCGCCTCTCGAAGATCAACCGCTCCCAGATCGCCATCTCCATCCTCGAACTCAATTACAACAGCAAAATAGTAAGAATTGGAACCAGCGTCGACATGGAAGGCCACGGATACCCCTGGATAGTTACACTGAACTCTGACATCCACGCCATGAACCAATAAAAAAACAACATATATAACAAGATCACCACTACTCATGACTTAAATGTATATCATAGAACACAACAATCTTAATTAATTATGCTGTTAAAATGGATGGAGAAATTAAACAGAAGTCCACATATTGTATTGGCCGGAGAGGCAACACGATAAGGTGGTGGTTGTACATCAGTTAGTGGGTTCCACCAGGACAATCGCATAGAATAGTTTTGCTTCTCCAAGCAACCTTAATTTCCTCGAAACATTTAAACTCCTTGTCTAAAAATGGAACTTATATAACCTAATTAGCCTGCAAATCGATTAAGGATGATTATAAAGCATCTAAACCCATGTTCCTGAATCCTGATTATTTCTCTTTTGTTTTCTTTGTTTCATCATCGTTTTCCGTAGAATGCGAACCTTTGATACTGTATCTGTAAAAGCCCAGCGTTGCGTAGTTGATTGCTTTGGCCAGAAATCGCCATTGCGCCAAATGCAGTTCCGCTCATATCAAAATGAACCGACTCTGAGAGACACGGGCCCCCGGGGCACTCGTCTGTAATTACTACGGTCACCGGATTCCCTGAGCACGCTGCATTATCTGTGCATTTCACCTGATACGGAACCCATAAGGCTTCAGTTTGGACAAGCAACAAACAAGTGATTAAAGAAATTAAATAAAATGATATAACTCTTCAGCTCTTTTCTGAAACCCATTTAGAAACTCTAGTGTAATGTGGATAGAATGTAAACCATTCAGTAATGCTGCTTCACCTGATAACAAGCACCACAGCCTTTGCCGGACTTAAATAGAGAAGGACCTCCAGCTGATACCATGGAGGAGAAGGGAGCTTGCTCCACAGAATTCCCATACCCACAAGCTCCACCTACACAAGTTAAAAGAAAAGTTAAACAAGTCAGGGATGATTATTTCACCTCTTTCTCTCTCTTGTACACACAAACACAGACATACACATTCAAACACATATTACCATCGCTTCCAGCACCATCAGGGCTTCCATACCATGTGGCTCCACCCAGTAACCAATTGGAATTACTGTTAGAGGCATTAAGAAGTTTGCGATTGGAGCACGAGCAGAAGTCTAGGTGGGGCAGAAGAGAAACAAGAGAAAAGAGAAGCGAGAAAGAGAAAGCCTGAGGAAGTATAGAAGCCATGACCACTTTTCTGATAATCAGGCACTACTTAGAAATCCACTTAAAAGAGCAAGTTATAGCTCAGTTGTGTTGATTGGTCTGACAGGAACTAGAAACTGACTTGTATGCATGGACGAATGGAATTGTCTTTTTCTTTCTTAATTTGCAGTACTGAACCAACCTCGTGAGAGACCGTGTGTTGCCTCCCACAAGTTATCTCATTATTAATTGGGTGGCGATCCAACACACATGAGGTGGGTGAATTCAATCGGCTTCCGTCCGGACAATTCCGTGCCCACACCGTTCCAATTGCCTTTTGCAACCTTACATTAGGAATATCTGCTTTGCCCTGACCAAAGCCGAACTTTGGCCAGATAAGGTTTATAATTGAGCAAATTAATTCCTATATGTTGAGAAAATGCCCCTTTATGCGGTGCCCCTTCATTCAATCAACATCCTATATATTCATTGTCTATCATTGTTGAAGCCTATTTGTAATTTTCAGGAGGAGAATATGCTTTGAGGGTCTGGTTATTTTTTATCTCTTCATTAATTGTTAGACAATTCATGATTGTAACCAGATTATAATGACGCCATTTTCCAAAAATGTCTTTCGCCATTTTTCAAAAATTATAATGACGCCACAATATTTGGGTACTTGGAGACATTTAAGTTATGTTTGGTTTGAAGGAAAAGGTAGAGAAAGGAAGGAAAATGTAGGAAATCCTATATAAAGTTTGTAAAGATTTTTTTATATTTCCCTTCTTTTTCCTACCTTTTCCTTCAAATCAAACACAGCCTTAAATTGTTTGAATGGTAATATAGAAGAAATAAATTGGTTTTAGAATTAGAATCAGTGTACGGATATATGGAAATAAATACAAATTAAATATTAGAAGAGGTTCATGTGTGGAATCTCCCCAAAGGGGGTCACGGGCTATAACCAAAATGGGTACAAAAATAGATGTACCTAGTTGCGGTCCCTATTTTAATCAGTTGTCTTATGAGTTATCTAGGCCTGTCAATGGGACTGGGTCAACCCGGCTACTAGAACCTATCCGATCCTATTACACAAGGTCTAGGTCTTGGTTCCAAGTCCCAATTATATGTACAAATAGAAGAGACCTGTGTTGTCCCAATTTTATATATATATTGAGAAGATGTGCCTTATTATAAATGGGTCTGGGTCTTGTGGCCTTTAAAAGAAATGGGTCTTTTGAATCCAACCAGATCCAATAAGCAGGATTAAAATTAAGGGTGAGACTTGGGTCGGATTGGTTCTGCTATTAATTTGTTAAAATTTCAATGGATGCGAACCCCAACCTGAGACTGTAAATGAAATTCTTTCAGTCCTAATTAAAATGGGTCAGTTCTCGGCCTGTTATTATATATCAGGACCACCAGGCATTTATATTCTCTCAGCTTATTTCTAATTGGGTAATACTATATCATATGGACCCAAATTGAAGTCGATGACAGGTTTGATTTAACTTAATTGGATTTGGACCCAGGCCCAACTAACCGGGTCCTTATACAATGGATAGCTGGTATCCAATAACACACACCCCTGGCCCCGGGAAGTTCAACCTTGTCCAACTCTGGACAAGACGTCTTTGTCCAATTCTTGGTATCTTTTCAGACAAGAAAATGGCAGAAATGGAAGGCGGTTTGCTGTCATAGTGTAGGGTCCACTTAAACACTCCTCCGACAGGTTATCCTGACCCGCCATCCGAGGATTACACACAGTGAGTGAGTGAATCCTGACAGATACCATTAACTAAATTTGCGGTTAAATGAAAGCGAACCTTCCATTGACGCTGCCGTTAATGGTGGTTATTGGCCGTTGAATCCTCGGTGAATATTGAGTTTGATCATATTTGATACGTCTGCATGTGATCCGACGGTCAGGAAAGGAAAGGATTCTTTTCTTTGACACTATAAATTCAAAATTAACGGCCCAAAAACATGATACCGGAAAAAAACTTATGACTGCAAGGGTGGAACAAGTGTGGAAATGTTTCAAAGGCACATCTGCAAGGGGACATGAGGACAGTGTGATAAAAAGTTGTGTGGACGAAATGCGATTTGATCGATTAAGTGGGTTTTCACCAAAATTAATAGGCGTCTATTTGACATTGTTATAGTTGTTCTATAAATCGGCGCCACATTAGTGCTACAGTGCTTTAGGAAATGGGCTTTTGTTTGGACCGGAAAAATGGTATTTTAAGTCGCACCTTAAAAATCAGAAAGGTATGGCTTGGAGTAATATCAAAGTTGGTGTTTCTTAAAGATGCAGCTCACTGCTGCCAACAGGGATGTGAGGTGGCAGTGATGTGGCACTGGATAATGGGTATTAGTGCTAAAAACGTTTTTTGGAGCATTGGTATCAAATAGAAAAAGTTGTTACTCCAAAAAGCATTATACCTAACAATAACGATTCTAAACAAAAAGAAAGACACTATTTTCTTAAAAAACAATACTTCCAACCCACACATCAGCAACACTGTGTGTTGGAAGAATGTGGTCACTGTAACTTTGGAGGAGAAGCTCTGAGGCGCGTCTGAAGACATTGTTTTTAGAACGTTATTTGCCCCACTCAGTTTCACTGAGTTTGCTATTGGATTACAGGCAAATCCGTTCCCAGGATACAATAGAGCCTTGGGCGAGAAACTGCAACCAGCAAAATTGAAGAATCTCCGAAGAAACCTTCTATGAGACTGTAGCAGACCGGACTGAGAGAGAGAGAGAGAGAGAGAGTGAATTTTGAAAAATGTGTGTTTTTGGAGTCTGATTCATGCTCTTTAAATAGTTTATGAAGAGGTATGAAGAAAAGGTAGGTGCTGGTTCAGAAAAGGCACTTTGAACAGTCACAATTTCAAACATTGTGATTGTTTAAAATGTAGTTAACAGTTAATGACTATTAACTTTGAATTGTGCCTCTTGATCACACCCAATCGAATTGTGACCGTTGATCCCATCAACGGTGATCAACGGTCAACATCGCACCAAAACCAAAGCCGCCCTTCACGAGCCACGCAGGTGCGAGCAGAGTGCGCTTCTAAAGCGCCTCATTGCACCGCACACACACGTGCGCGGTATCGAACTCCCATACTCTCCTCTATTAATTCTAAGGAGTGTAAATCAACTCATATTAAAATAGTGAAAACAAATCTTATAATTTTCCAATGTGGGACAAGTTCAAAACTGGGTTTTGCAAGAGAAAAGCTAATTTTTCAATCAAGTGTATAGGTACAATTTCTCATATAATTGACCAATCAAACCCATTGGATTTAATCTCTTATGAGATTAAAATCCAATGTTGTGTATTTACAGCATCGATACCAAATATATACTAAATTTTTTTTAAGACAAATTCATTCATCAGGCAATAGATGACCATTTCTTCTTCTTCTAGGACATATAATTGCTCAGTCGATGTTTGTTCATCTCTTTTGAAGGGATATTTATTTTGTATTACTATTTGTTCTGTGGGCTATAAAGCTTAGGAGCATTGTCCAGAAAAAAAAAAAAAATACGTGATCATTGTAACACTTGCTTTCTGGACTTAATAACCAACTATTATGGGTGATTCCTTATATATGATTCCAAATTTGTCTCACTGCTATGATTGCTCTGCAAAATAAGAATCTGAATTAAACCGCTAATACCCCAAGTGTAGGTTTTTTTTTTTTTTTTTTTTTTTTTTTTTTTTCAGAGTATGGCTGTATTAAACCCCTAATGTTTTCTTATAAAAAAGCTTATTTCAGTTTGCTTGGGTTCTCGTCTATTTCCTCTATTTTATTTGTTTCGTAGTTTCTCTCAATGGGAATGAGCTAAACAACCTATTTTTTAGGAGCCATTCGATAACAAATGGGTGGCTGAACTGAATCACCCAAATAAATCTGATTCATGCACCTGCAGTTATCTATTTGCTTTGGGAATACACTATGAATCTCAGATTTGTGTTTTATACTTTTATTTTCTTTAGTTGTACTCATGGTTTTTCTATTTTCTTTAGTTGTACTCATGGTTTTCAAAATCAGACTGGATCGGACAGTTGGACCGGAAAAATTGGGAATCAGTCAGGTGACCACTTCCGTTTTCCCCAAAACTGAATTTTTTCCCAAAATCATTGATTTTTGTCAGTAAACCATTGAACCGAACGATTAACCGTTCGAATCGTTAAAACGGTTTTGAGTATTTTTTATTTTTCTGATTTTTTTGATTTTTTTGATTTTTTTGTTAGAACAGTCTGAGCATTCGGTTCAAACGGCAGACCATTTGACCCGGTAACCGGACCCCTAATCGGTTCGGTCACCGGGTCAATTTTAAAAACCACGATTGTACCATAAATTAAACTTCTTGCATGGTAGTACTATCATATACCAAATATCTTTGCATAGGCTTACAGCCCACAAATTAAGCTTTTACAGTCAACTATTTGTTCCGGGAATACACTATGAATCTCATATATGTTTTATAATTTTATTTTTTTAGTTGTTTCAAGATTACCATAAATTAAGCTTCTTGCATGGTAGCACTATCATATACCAAATACATTTGCATTGGCTTACAAATTGGACCACAAACTACACAATTACAATTGAGAACATGAACTTTCATGACATACTTTCACATTTTCCTTATATGATTGAGTTGATATTTGAGTTCTTAGAGAATGAGTTGCTTTTGTCCTTATATTTTCTTTCTAGTATATGGAATTGATTGTTTTTTGAATTTTATTTTGTAGAGCTTTTTGTGTTCCACTATATGTTATTCACCATGACTGCGATGGCAATGAAGATACCAAATTAGAACCACAGAAACACCCACGGCGACACACAAGTTGACAAAGATACATGACGAGTTCGTAACTCGTCACAGACCTACGATGAACTCAAAGCCACCACGGACCGGCAATGGATGAAAACACCACCAACCAAAGTCACTTGTAACACGACATCCAGTAGGATAAAGTAAGACACGTCAAACTAGTCCTGATGTCACTTACGCAACGTCAATACAGGAGACCCGCAAAGGGAAATAGTATATATGTACTATGAGAATTCTCA